CAATCAGCGAACCATTCTGCCGACTCGCTTGCCTGATCAGTTATTTGTCAAAGCTGATTTCGTGGCCGCCTGCAACGTATTTCGCTGTTATTGCATCGCATCGAACATGGCAACATGCCGATTCTGCCCAGGCAGCTGTAAACTAGAATTTTGAATTCACAAATTTCAATTAACAACGTTGCCAAATGCGCTGACTCAGAGGCCAGAAGGAAATTGCGAGCACACATCGCACATGGTGGCCGCAAAAATACGAGACTTGGCAAATCGTTCATGACTGGCCGAGCTACCGCTTTCCACCGACATTGTGACAGCTTAATTGGGCCAGCCGTGGGTGGACCGGGTGGTAGTTTCCCTCAGTGTATCTACCATGTGCATGCCCCTTACGGAAATGCTGCCAACTCCCAGTTGCATGCTATTCAAAACAGGACAGGTTGAACCCTACACATTTCGAGGGGGATTTGCATTTTGCAAAAGAATCCTCAAAACATTTTTAACTCGACTTGCACTATATTGTTAAAATTCGTATTTACAATAAAAAATATTTTGTTTTTAATTCCAAAAGTGTGGAATTACTGAAAGTTTATTTCAACGTAAAGCTCGTGGTTATAGTTTAACAAGCTCTCAACACTCTTGAAAACACAATTTTTTTTCAGTTAGTTTTCCATTTTTTCCTTCCTTTTCCATCATTGTTATCTGTGATAAGGACCAACATAAACCTTTCGTTACACATTCGAGCAGACTGTTCTATCAGGAAAACAGGCAACTAATGACTCGTAATAATTGCGGTTCATGTTCGGTAAGAAAAATAGGCTTCATTAAATACAAAAGCGCTTAGCAGAAGGCCCACCGCCCACCAAGGCCCACAGCCAGATCCCAGGCAAAGTATAGTAACAACATCGGCAAAACCAAACCAACAAGCATAACAAACGATCTATGAGCATTTCAGGCCATTTCAACAAGCTCGAACATTTTGCGGTTACACCCAGGAAATTGTTTGTTGGATTTCGGAATTATATTTTGCTGCCGGGCTGCTGGCAGGATGCAAAATTTAAACCGGCAAACAAATATTCCAGCATGTGTGCTCGTTGCTTGAGCGTGCTACTGATTAAGTTGTGCGGCAGCCTTTCAATTTTTAGCAGCCCGAATATTATGTGAAAATGGAATTTAAACTGCAGACAATTTGTTATTAGCCGCCTAAGCCTGTTTGCCTATGCAATTTCCAGCCTCCACGAGGCGTGTACACAATGTGGCCAAAAGGAAATTATGTTAAACTGTTTATGGCCTTCAGCCGAGCACAACAGAAGAATCCGCCTTTGACTCCTGCCAAATTATTTCCACATTTGCAGCTCACAGAAAGCAGTGTGAATTATTTGCTAACTATTTGGGAAATTGTTTCACTCATCCACGAGTGTGTGGCCATTCCATTACTGCCACATGAGCGCACTTTTTGACGCTGACCGGCGAAATTTTTGCTGTGCAAATTTATTGAGCATAAAATTTTGTGGAAATTCGTTTTTTACCCCGCATGTGCAAAACTAAAAATAAACATAAATATTTATTAGTCCGCCAAGAGTTGTCCCCTCGCTTTGCGTATATATGCAAATGACTACCCAAGATCTGGGCCCTGTCATTGACCCATTTCCGGATGCTTTCAGCCTCGAGGCAAAGCACACATTAAATGTGCTGGAAGCTGGGGCCCAGCAATCAAGTGATTCACTCAAGCAGATGCGAGTGCTTACATAATTTTCGGACGAAAATTGATTTAAGTGCAGAGTTTATTGACATGGGGCCTGCGATGGTGTTTTTAACTTAAGTCTAAATTTAATGATATACCGAAATTTATTAATTTTCATGGTAATAGGCTTAGATTCTCCCATTTAGCTTTTGGTTTTATTATTATTAAAAAAAATTTCACAATTAACACATTATTTCAGAAAGAACACGCATTTTCCCGTAAGATTGCTTAAAACTCAATCCTTAACGTGTCTGTAACCGAATGCGTAGTTAACTCTAAACACAGAGCATAAATGCTACAAAGATCGAGTCGTAAATTCTCGCATGGCACATTTTGCGCACAAATAAAAACGCACTAAAGCGAGTTGTTGGGGAAGATGTGACTAGCATTCCGTGGGGGTTAAACATTTTGGTTATTTACCTGCCTAAAAACAAATCCCCGTATAGAGATACGTGTATCTATGGCTAGACAAGTGTCAGGCACCAGATAATCATTTCAGTTTACAACTTTTTCGCTGTTGTTGTTTCAGTTGTTCTTGTTGTTGTTTGCTTTTGGGGAAAAAAAGTTTTTCGGCATCCCCTTGACTCATTGTCGCGCCTGCTTTATGGGCGTGGCTATTGCCATTGAAGCCGTCGTGGCCGTTGTTCCTTTTTATTGCGGCGCTTATATTTGTTGGCAGGAAATAGCTTTCGTGTGCTCACATTCGATAGATACAATCGCAGCACGCAACAATTTGCACTTCTTTATGTTGCTGAACTTCAAACTTTGTTTGGGGACTCCTCCTTTCCGATCCGGTCCTTTATTTATATAAACATATTTTACCTTTCATGCATGTGCGCACCTGTTCCCCCTTTGCCGTCGGCTTATCCGGTGCTATGTGTGATTTTATTTATTTCCGGCTGCCTGCCAACTCTTACAAAAGCCCATAAAGATTTCCAGAATGCGGATACAAATCTGTGCAGGCACACGTATCTGAAAGATACGCCCCGAGCAAGGCCAAGTTTAAAGATCCGCCGGGCCGAAAAACAGTTTCCCTTTTTACCCCGGCTGTCCGCAATTCGTTTCTGCAGCCTTTATTACATTAAAGGATACTCGGTTTGTGCCTGGGTCTTAACCACTAACACCTTTCTTTTCGTGTGTTGAAAAATGACTGCAGCAAAGTTTTATTGTTTGTTTGTAACTGCTAGAGAATCTCTGCACGTACAGCGCAGGTTGCAACTATAACTCTAAGCAACATAAATTTCCATTAAGTATTTATTTAATTATTTTAAAATTAAAGCATAGTTTTAATATATAGTACAACAATATATTTAAATAAGTTTTATATTCATTTCATTGGCATCACAAGTCTAACTATAAACCTCATGTCGTTTGCAATGCCCAATTAAATCAGAAACTGGAAGGAGTTATGTGTGTTCTTGGTTTTGCAGTTCTTTGATTAAATTCTGCCGGTCGAGAGCAAAAGTTTTAATTAGAGGCTAAGATTCATTCAAAGTCCCTTTGGTCATCGGTCTTGTGCTGTGCATATTAATGGGATTAAAAACAAGTTAATTAACATGGAAGTCTGTGGGCGGTTAACCGCACCACAGGGCGGATGAGCAATACGATTTTTGACTGGTCGAGCCACATGCAGTTATAATCAGCTTAGCACTAACGTTGCATCATTATCATCATCGTCAGAGAATGATTGCGATTGCTCCTGCTCCAGCCAGCTACTTACATGTTTAAACAATATTTCTTAATTGAAATGCCGGAGGGCAAACCGAGTAACATTAGCAGTGACAGCCGTATAGCTCATGAGTCCATTGCCGCAAAACACCAAAACCAAACCAAACCAAACCAAGCCGTACCGGGGAATTGTCTGGCTCCTCCTCCCGTTTTTGGCTGCAAGCGAGAGCTGAGCAGAAATTAATTACATTGAAGTCATTTATCAAGAAAGTTTATTTCTTGCAGTTGGAGCTGGCCAAAAAAGCCAAAACTAAACCAAACCGAACCGAACCATACCGAAACGAACTGAACTGAACTGAACTGAAATACGGCAAAGTAGAACCGAAAGCCAGGCCAACTCAACCACATCCCGTCAGTTGTTGTTTCCGTTACTTGGCTAGTTGTTGTTGTTATGCTTATTTTTATTTATTTGCCCTGGCCCTGCCTATTGTTAGTGAAAAGTAAATCAATAAATGGCATCGGGCTTCGGATTTTGTTTCGCTTCCTTTGCCATTTTTTCCCCCATTGTTTTTCCGTTGAGCTGTGCAAAATAATTGCAAAAGTTTTGCCCAAGCTGGCAAATTGTTTGCTGCATTTTCGATTAGCAAAATGTCAATTTCGAATGAAAATGAAAATAAAAAGCAACTACCAAAGCACTTGGCCAAATTGTCGTTAACTGGCAAATGCCACTACAGTTGGGAGGATGGCAAATAGTGGGTCCTGTTCTGCAGGACACTGGCCATCGGGACTATCGGGGGGCATCGAGCTCTCTGGCGAGAAGCGGAGCCATTTTCAAAATTTGATTTCGTTCGAGCCAAAATGGGCAATGGGCAATGGGCTGCCACCAGCGACCAGCAACCATCGACCAGCAACCAACAGCAACCAACAGCATCATCCGCACGAAAAACAGTGCGAGGGTCAGGGGTCGCATCTACATGACAGCAATATCCATCACGAGGCTAAAGCTCCATTCTGGCTTGACGATATACAAAAATTGGTTTAATCAACTGTGAAACAACTGCAGCAACGACACTAGCTAAAATAGAAAGCAACAACAAAGGCGGCAGAAGCGACAAATGTTGCAACTTGGCTGGGATATAGTGGCAGAAATGGAAAACAGGCAGCGGGTATCGAGTGCATCCATAAACAAGAACATGGATAGAGGAGCGGTCCATATACCCTTTTCAGGATTGTTAAATCGTTTAGAGTTTATCACGATTAGTTCACATTCAGAGACAAATTGAATTTTAATAAAGCGATTTGTTAGGTTAGGGGTTTTCATAAAAGAAACAACAAGCCAACAAACTGATGATGTTTGGTATTAGCTAAAGTGACCAAAGAATTCAATAGGGCATTTACGTTATAGATCCTATGCTGCGTGGCAAATGTTAGGCTATCACTATCGATATCTTTCCTTGTTAGTGAACAACAACAACAGTAGCAATAGTAGTAACAGCAACTCCAGTGGCCAGGAGCTGTGCCAATTTTAGTCGTAGTTATTCCAACTCCTGTCGCATGCAAGGACCTAGACTAATATCGATTTATGGACTATTTGCAGAGTTGCCGCGACATGGACGCCGCTGCCGATGGAGTACCGCCAACGGCGCCAGCAGCGACGGCGACGACGGCCAACAGCGATCTGGACTTGGCGGCACGTCGGCGACTCTTCATCTCACAGCCCTCGACATTGGCGACGCGCCGCCAGCAGGCGGTTTGTGTGCGGAGGGCCCACAAAATGTACGGCAGCAGCAAGAACCCCAACGTTGTCCTCGACGGCCTGAACATGACAGTGCCCAAGGGATCCATGTGAGTGCCCATCTGGATTAAGATGTACGGGGTCTATACTGGCTTTGGGTTGCACTCGCCTTTTGTGGCTCAAATGCTGACACACAAGTTAGAAACACACCATGTAGACTAGAAAAATTACATTACAAATTTAACATTAGTTTAGAGGTCAAAGCATAAGCACTGCATATTTTAAGAGTATCTTTTGGTAGAAAAACCAAAGAAATATGGAAAAATCCTTTTAAATTATGTGACAAATTAACATATATATGTTTTAAAAATGTTTCTGTTTAACCTGTTAAACAAGCAACTGGTCTACGTGACCCCATGTCGATGCCGATCAGTCTAAAAGTCTAAAATGCTCAGATTTCTAAACGAAATATTTTCATTTTCTAATTAAGCGCGTGGAATATGATTTGTGTAATGCCAGCATATGTAAATTTTTTGTTTCGCTTTCCCAAAATAAGCTCATTAGACTCCCCGTCCCCCGAATGATTAAAAACAGCGAGTGGGGGTACACAGAGAAAAAATCATATGCAGCTCCCCACGCAAACAGAAAGAACGGCGCTGACCAAAATCCGAAAATCGAATATGCAAATGTGGGGCAGTGGGATGAATATTCGAATTCGGATGCGATTGGGAATTTCAGAGTGGTGAGTGGGGGAGTGGGGAGTAGAGATACTAACGAAATGCAAATGCAGTTTCCGCGAGATGGATTGAGCAGTTGCGGCCATTGTTTGAGTGCTGTGTGAATGGCCGCGAAATGTTAGTGACCGCAATTAGCACTCAACATCTGACGAACGAACACAAGCGCGCACTCAAATGAGGCAGCAAAGTGGCCAAGACGATGAGCCGCAGTCGACAGACCGAAAGTGGGTCAATGTCAGCGCTTGAAAAACTGCCAAATTAACAGCAGTAACAACAAAAGACGGCGGGCTCGAGCCGCAGCATCCATTGAGATAAAAAACCAGTTTTTGAGCCAAGACTTAAACCAACTAAGTGATCTGTGGAGTTGCCAGATCGTGCATATATGTAGTGTACCTATTTCTTTTCTCCTACTCTTGTCTGTCATCATTACTTTCATATTCATAGTGCCATTTATTTAGCAAACAAATTTGTTACTTTTCACATTCACTCCGGATTCTACGAAAAATAGTATACTCATAATTCTTAACAAGTATCTAAGCCAGGTAAAAAACACAAGCCCCACAACGGAAGAGAAAAAAGGGGAAAGGGCAATAGCCTGGCCATGATATAACCGTCGCCTTGATGTGGGTGTTTGTTTTGGCCATTTAGCGAGATATTTCACACTGCCTGAGCGACCGACTGACTGACTGACTGTCACACTTGAAATCTGTGAAAAACCAACAACAACAACCACAAAACAAAAGAGGCGCAGCTGGAAAAAAAATACAAAGCTGAAACACCAAAATGAAGAAAGAAAAACTGTCAGCAGCGCGTTAGTGTGAACAAGAAGATTTAGCACAAAATATGTCGCCCGGTCTCTCACTCCGGAATGAGGACTACGGCCTTAGGACTCCGGACTCGGAACTCCGGACCCGCTTTGGCCACCGCTCCTGAGCTTTTTGGGCCCACGCTGTCAGTCACCGCACCCAAAAATTCTGGGCCCTCACACTGAAAAAAATTAAAAAGTATAATATCATATATGTGGTATTTATTCAAACAATTCTAAATCACCTATTTTGTTGTTCCACTTATAATAAAAACAATACACAATATCATATTATGTAGAGTACAAAATTTTTCTTTCTCTGCACACAAAAATTGGTGGAAAAAATCAGGGAAGATTTGTTTTTTTGTTGCCGCCCAAAACTTTGAGCCGCTTCTGTAGGCGCGGCACCGACAGTCTTCCTTTCTTTTTTTTTTTTTTTGTCTGTGGGCTGACTGACATTTGTTTTTGTTGAATTTCTTTGTGTGTGAGAACGGAAAGGGAAGAAGTGGGTGGGTGGGTGATTGTGAAGGACGCTGGTTGGGGGATGGCTCTGAGCCTGTGGCCATCATTCGGATGTCTGACTGCTCCGTGATAAATAATTGTGTTTTTCTTGCTTTATTTGCAATGAATTATAGTTATTTTTTCAGCCAACCACACAGAGCAGAAATCATATATACGTTCGGGTAGACAAACAAGACAAGTGTAGACAACAATGAACACTTGAAGTGATGTTTGTGGTCTGGGCCAGAGTGTTTGCAAATAAATCATGCCATTGATGCATAAATAAAGCGCAGAAATTACGCGGTCTCTGCAGCGGCTGAATTTATGGCCATCGGAGTGTGTTTGATTTGGCGGATTGAAAAGTCGCGCATCGGTTGGATAAATTGAATTGCGAAAAATGGTTTGCAAATGGCAGGCAAATAAAAGCAGGACGGCTAAAAACTCAGCTGTCCGTTAAAGGCCAGAAATTGATGAATTAATTGGCAGCACAAGCTATCTTCATTTGAATTTTAAATTTGGACCGTATTCTTTACATTAATTCTTTCTTTTATAATCTTGTAGTTTCTTTTACAATTTTTATTTCAATTTAAACTGCTTTAAAATTGAACACTTATGAACAATAACCGTAATCACGCTTGAACTTAAAGATCTCTGTGGTTTTCCTTCGATTTCAATTGAACAGCTCAGTTCATTGGGTTGCTTAATTTGCTGATGATTTCATAATCCACTTTCCTGGCCATCCGTTTCCGCAGTCAATTACTTAAAGACAAAGTGGTTTTCTTAAAGGCATCGTTGCCAACAAATTTATCAACTAATTGACTACCGCTCCGTGCGAGTAATTAAATGTTTTATTTCTGTGACCCCAAAAACGAAATGTCCCGCAGCGACAGCAAATAAAACCGCAACACTTGGAAATTTTCTTCAAGTTTCCATTTTCGACCCCTTCCACTACAAACTTTTTGCTCTTGACCACAGGTTGAAGGTTTTCTTGGCCCTCCATGTCTTGCCTTGTGGTCAACGCCGTTTCTGTGTACTTTACTACAAGTTTTATCTAAAGTGAAGAAAACTAAAGAGGCAAGTCATAGCGAGGCTGTCAGTTCTTGGACATCTTTAATTTACACTGTCAATTTTTCCTTAAATTAAATTGAATGAAAAGAAACTAGGATGAATAATAATAATATTAAAATTCGATTTGGAAACCACAAAACAAAACGTAACAAACCAAAAATTGGTATTTTCCTTCTAACAAATTAAATGTGTTTTTTTTTTGTCATTAATATAATAAAGTACATTTCTGGGATTAGCCTTTGTTCCAATAAAAATTCATTTTCATATCTAGCAGAAAAACCAATAAATAATATTTCCTGATTTAATTAAATAAATTAAATAAAATCAGAAGTTTTGCTTGCCTCTGTAAAATATAAAACAAACTAATCAAGATTCAAATCAATTTCAGAAAACGCGTATTGATTCCGTTTATTTTCAATCAAACGCTTTGTAGAAAATTTAAAACCTAAACGGTTGTTAGCCATTTTGCCTTTCAAACATCATTCGGACACACCAAAAAGAGTTGCAGCATTTTCGGTGTGCAGCCGCCATCGGGTTTTTCAGATCATTATGATGATGCGGCCGCCATCCTTGGTCAGGTAAAACAACCAGGACAATAACAATGACTGCCCGTTGCCGCCATTATTTTGACATACGAGAACCTGAGCCTGGGCGGGCGAACACCGTCGACCAGACCGGTTTGGAACAATGGCCAACACGGCAATGTTTCGGGGCGGAGTCCCTGCCCCCAGGACCCAAAGGCATTACAATGCTGACGGCTCGGGGGGAGCGGGCTGTTCCGCAGAGGGGGATGGCAAGAGGGAAGGGGTGGGGGGAGGAGAGGGGGAAAACATGGCCAACACGAAGAAACATAATGGCTGCTTACAATTTGTGAACGAGCATAATGCGAACATTACATCCGCGCCATTGTTCTTGGACAAAAGGAGGCGGTGGTGGGGAAGGGAGAGGGAGAGGGGAAGGGGGAGGGGCTGGGTCAACAGGACTTCAACGGGGAGGACTTTACCGGGTAGGCTGGGTGGCTCAAATTAAATTAAAGCTGTTTAGTTGTAATTGGTCGTTGAGAGGGGTCCAGACAGTCGGCGGGCTGCTGCTCCCAGGATCCCTCCTCTCAACTGGAAATGACCCTTTTTCTGGGTCCTTGACGGCGTCGACTTTTGGTTGTGTTTCGCTCGGTTCCCGCTTTTTGCACTTTATTGCACCTACCATGAAAACGGTGAATTAATGGACCATGAGAATCGCTAAATTGAGTTCAGGCTCACATAATAAACCTGCCCGATGTCTGAGATTTTTAATCTCTGCCCGCCGCTTTTAATTGATTGTAAATTGTTATTGAATTATTCAATACAAAGTCAGGGCCAAGGCTGAGGTTAAGTGTTGGCCATTTTGCAGAGCAGTCTAACGATGTTATAATTAATGTGTGACGTATAACGCCTGACATTAAGTGCTGACATGTTTTTTTGCGGCTGATCTGGTATTTATTACAGTGCGTTATAAACACACAGCAACTAAGGTATTAAAGTCGTTAGTAATACTTCACTTGACCTTAACAAATCTGCTACAATTAACAAGTAACACAAATAGATGGTAGTTCACTGCAGTAAACTGTAAGTTCAATTTTTAATTTAAGTAAGCCTGCATATTTCGATCAATTTACAAACCGATATAAAAGGCATTGGAAGTTATCATGTAGAATAATCTTAGCAACATTTGCTAAGCTAAACATTTGTAATAATGGTTTCCATTTACCACTGCAGCTGTAACCAAGGACAATTAAATAATAAGTGCGTATTTAACACACAAATTACCTTAAACTTTCCTAACACTATTATTGCCTCTACGTGTTTTGCCTGTATGTGTAATTTATATCGACTCGTGTTGGCAGTTGCTTGAGGTCAATAGCAAATAATTATCTACTAATTTCACTTCTATTTATGCATAAACAAATCCACATTTAATGCACCGGACTGTATAGTATTGACCATCATGATATGTGGTCATT